CCCATTCCCCTCCTTTACCCCCTCCCCCCTCACCCTTCGATCCTCAACATCCCCGGAACAACGTCAGAGTCTCGTTTTAATTTCCTCCTGCTGCTCTCCCCCCCCCTCCCTCCTTCTCCCTATCCCTCTCCCTGCTTCCTATCCCTCTCCCCCCGCCCCTCCCCCTCCTCCCTTTCCCCAGTCCCCTCTCACTCCCCTTCCTCCCGCCTCGTCGCTGCTGTCCTGGAGAAATCTGAAGGATTGAGATTGCTAGCTTACGGCCTACCGCTCCCCCCCCCCCCCTCTCTCTCTCTCTCTCTCTCTCTCTCTCTCTCTCTCTCTCTCTCTCTCTCTCTCTCTCTCTCTCTCTCTCTCTCTCTCTCTCTTTCTCTTTGTGTACACACACACACACACACACACACACACACACACACACACACACACACACACACACACACACACACACACACACACACACACACACACACAAACATCCCTTCACAAAAAAAAGACTTTCCTTCTGAATATTAAAAGTCCGAGATGATGAAATTCGCGCTGTAAGCCTCCTTCGCGCGTTTCTGTTGATATCACAAAATAAATAAATAATAGATAAATAAATAAATAAATAGATAAATAAATAAATAAATAAATAAATAAATGAATAAATAAATAAATAAATATAAAAATATACATATAAAAACATGAAAAAAAAAACGCATAATTGAAAAAATCTCAGACAGTTCTTCAGAACAGCCTCCGCCTCTCGTGTTTTCTTTTATGTTTTCTTTGCTTAAGAATTACAAGAACCTTATCTTGTGAAAAGTGGGGGTAATGACCTTCCTCCCCCCCCCCTCCCCACGTCCGCAGCCGCATGCATTCCAGCTAGAAACATTACTCACACTTATATTCTATTACTTTCCTGAAAATTTTCCCCGTTATTTACGTCATGAATACATCAGTCACACGTTGCTTTTTACTGTATATTTCTTCCTACACTCATCTTTCTCTCTCTTTCTCTCTCTTTCTCTCTCTTTCTCTCTCTTTCTCTCTCTTTCTCCCTTTCCAATTGTCTGCTTGTCTGTGTGCCTGTCTCTCCATCCCCCTAACCCTGTCGTTGTCTCCATTCTTCTTTCTTTCTTTCTTTCCTTCTATTCTCCTACCTTCTTCCTCACTCTGTTTTTTCCCTCTTCTCCCTTTCTTTCTCCTCCCTATATTTTCCTTATTTTACCTTTCTATCTCCCTTTTTCTTTTCTTTCTTCCCTTTCTCTTTCCTTCTTTTTCCTTTCTCTCTAACTTTCTTCATTTATCTTCTCGCTTTCTCTCTCCCCCCTCCCTTCCCCTTCTACCTTTCTCTCCTCTCTTTTCCTCCTCCCTCCCCTTCTCTCTCCTCCATTTGCTTTCCATATCATTTTCTCTATCCTCTATCGCTTTTCCTTCTCTCTTTCTCTCTCGTCTCTCTCTTTTCCGTCATTCTCTATCTTTTCCTTCTGCTCCCTTTCCCT